AGGGAGGGAGGGAGGAAGGAAGGAAGGATAGATGTCATGAGGGGTGGATCTTGGAGGGAGGACTCAGTCGCGGAGATATGGAGACACGGGTTTATTTTAACTAAAAACACACTCAAAAGGAGTGGATGGCAGATATGGGACAAAACAAGGCTGTGAAAAAACTATGAACAAAGTAACAAAGCAAGATTACATGACTGTGAAAAAACATGGCTGTGGCAAAAACATGGCTGTGACAAAAACATGGCTGTGGCAAAAACATGGCTGTGACAAAAACATGGCTGTGACAAAAACATGGCTGTGGCAAAAACATGGCTGTGACAAAAACATGGCTGTGGCAAAAACATGGCTGTGACAAAAACATGGCTGTGACAAATGTTACTCTTTTGTTTTTGTTTGTATTACATGTTCATCCGCTAGGGGCACTGTTGTGCTAGGAATATATGTTTATGCTTTTGTACTCTTCTTCTGTGGGAGTCGTCTGTTTGTGTGTTGGACGAGGCGGAATAAATGGGTGCAAAGAAACGAGTTATTTTTTTAACTAAAAAAAACAAAAACATGGCTGTGGCAAAAACATGGCTGTGGCAAAAACATGGCTGTGGCAAAAACATGAACAAAGTATCAAATTAGGTAAACAAGGCTATGGCAAAAACATGGCCATGGTAAAGTACAAACAAGATTAACATGGCTATGGTACAAAAACAAGACTATGGCAATAAAGTAAACTAGGCTGTGACAAAATCAAACCTTACGTGGCGGGGGGTGATGAAAAACTCACAAACACACTGGCCCAGGACATGGGAAACGAGGACTATTTAATACATGAGGGAGGGGAACCCCAGGTGTAAACAATAGGTAATCATGACATGACAAAAACACCAGAAATTCCCCCAGACGTGACAGAGGGTCCTTCTGATCCTGATTCTGGAAACCTGAGGGGTTCTAAACCCCTTTGGGGGAGGAACCAGGAGGCCTTTCTACCCAGAAGCTCCTCTGGATGCAGGCTGGGGAGAACTGAGTCAGGAAAAGGTGTTTTTAAAGGTAGAGATCCAACTCAGAATGAGCCTGTAGGACCCAGAAGGACCCAGAATGAGTCTGTAGGTCCTGGTTTCTGCCTCCATCTGGACTCCAGGCCTTCAGCGTCCTCCACAGAAAGAACAGAAAGGAGAAGAAGAAGAAGAAGAAGAAAAAGAAAAACAAGCAGCCACAGAGCTGAATGATGGTCTGAGCTGCTGTTCTGGGCCCTACCTAACCCAG